GGATGCTCTCAGGATGCCAGGAGGCTTGGAGACGTGTGCGGTCCCCATGCTGGGAAGTTACCCTAAGGCACTCTGGAGGGTCTCGTAAGTGATGTACAGCCCCTGAACAAGTGGTTGCAGCCTGGCGAGAGCACAAGAGACTTGGTTTTATTGAAAAATGTAGACAGTATTGCGTTCATCTTACCTCTTTTATCATCTGGCATGTTCACATCTCTGGGGTCCTACAAGTGCATGTTCTCATATATGCGGTCCCTTTGCAGCCTCTTATGGAAATCCCTCCCTCGGCGTTGCTCTTGCTGAAGGCTTACTGAAAGTTAGGAGGGGAATTGGCACCCCATGTTTCTTCTGAGGTTCCTTCCTCGCTGACTGTCAAAGGGGTGGACTGAAGCTGAGGGGAATTTTTAACATTTCACCTCTCCTCATCCAGGCAGCCCCCGAGCAGCACAACGCTTGTGATTTTGTACCACTCTCCCAGCACGCGTTTCCCGCAGTGCTGCCCCTCCGTCAGGCATGTCGGGCAGCCAGAGGAGTTGCTGTTTTCCATCTTCTACCTCCAACCTGTCCCTCCCTGCTCCAGAGTGACGGGGGCTGCTTAACAGGCTGCTGACAAGTATCAAGTCTTCTTGGGCGCTGCTCCACATTCAAGCAACAAAGCTTACAAATTAAGCCTTCTGTCTTGGCCAATTTTGTTTCTCCACCTGGAGAATTCGTTTTGGCTTGTGAGTAACTCAGTCAAACATCTGCAGTCCCGGCTGGTTCCTTCGCCAGCAGCTCACCCACTTGTATTATCTGGCTCCGCTCCATTCTCGAGGGCTGCAGGGCTCTGTCCCTAGATGTCACGTGCCATCCAGGCTCAGCTTTGCTCATTCCTTTGACGTACTTGGACTGGAGATGAAGTCAATCCTAAAACTGTTTGGGTTTTTTTTTTGTTTTGTTTTAGATTTAAAATTCTAAAAGTTCTTTACAGCTGCTTTCTGGGAGTCCTTGGTGGAGTCCTTCCCAGTTCTGTGCTTCTTTCTGCTCGCTCTGAACAGCGCTTTAGATTCAGTAGGTTCTCCCATTTTAAGATCTGAGATTTCATGAGATGACGTGTAGCTCAGTGGTATTGTTCTGAATGAGGAGCGAATTACCTATGTTGTTATCATGAGCACTATTAGTGGTAGGAGTGACAGTGATGCTATATCATCTCTCTCTGACTCTTCCCTGTGAGTGGGAAGCATTTCTGTCCGCTTTCTAAGTGGAAAACCTGAATTGCAGAGGTCTAACGGTGTGATCAGTCTTGCAGCAGGGCTGCTGTCGCTGGCCCTGGGATGGTGCCGTGAAACCCAAGACCAGGAGGCGCATTACATGATGCTCCATCTCAGCTCTCTGCTGTCACGTAGGAAAGTTAATCAGAGACTCAGGGGATGAAGATTGTGGGTTTTTTGTTGGTTGTTTTTTTCCCTTTTTGATTGCTGTGACAGTGTTTTTAATTTAAGACCAGCATGGATAAAGTACTTGTAAGAATTTTATTGGTTTATAATCTTTTACTGGCCCTGGTGGTTACTCATGAGATGACCTTGTCTCTTTTGTGGCTGGGGGGGGTCTTGAATTTCCCTGAAGTGGCTATCCCAGCGCATATTTACACTGAGATTTATTTTACTCTTCCACCCACCAAGGTGATAAGCAGCAATCATCCATTTTCCTCGTGACTTTAAGCACCAACCACTCTTGTGAAGAAAAATGTGACATGTTGAGCTTGCCTGGATGCCATGTGGTTTCCATGATGAATGCCCTCCCTTTGCTTTCTGTTTGTTCCTGCTGTCTCTGTAGAATCAGTTATTCACCGCTGTCACGGTGTAACTAAAATGCATCGTAGTCATCTGCCCAGACAGAGCTCGGCTCCCTCCAAAGCGGTGTCTCCTCTTGCTGTGCTGCATGTAGGAGTACCGACCTTTCAGCTTTCCTCCTCCTAACGCTTCCCCAGACAGTGCTGGAAGATGAATGTTTTGGGGTTCATCTAGGGCCCGTGGCGGTTGATGAGAGCCAAGGATGAGAATGGGTGAACGTCTTTCAATATTCCTGATTCCAGAATTGGCCAAACTGTGGAGGACCAGCTGTGAAGAAGGTCCTGGAGGTAAAGCTGGGCAGGAGGCAGAATATTTCCTGCTCAGGTTTCCTTTCCTGGTGATTTGGGAGATTTTTGCAAGTTGGTGGCATAAATAGCAATTATGCTGAATAAAAGAGGAAACTTATTTACTGCTACCAAACCTTCCCATGGGACTTTCTGTGTTTTCATTTAGAACTGGCAGGAAAACTTCAGATGAAATATTTTTAGGCAAAATATGGCATTTTGGTAGAAATTTTCCCCTTTTCTTTGAATATGTTCTGAAATTTTGTTGAAAAGCTCTCAAAGAGAAATTCTGGGTGTTTTCCAGTTGCCGCAAATGGGGAATATTTCAGTTCCTGAATGGCAATGAACGTAGTGGAAGAGATACACCCACGTGCTTTTATTAACACATTTCATAAAGAAAAACACAGTCTTTTGATGAGTTCCAGCTCCGTCAAACCTTCTCCTATCTCCAGGATAGGAAACGCATCACTTGCTCTTTCTCCTATCTCCAGGATAGGAGAAGGTTCGATGAAGCTGGAAGATGAAGCTATCCTGGAGATAGGAGAAAGAGCAAGTGACGCGTTTCCTATCCTGGAGATAGGAGAAAGAGCAAGTGATGCATTCTTCCACCAAGACGACCATACATGGAGACCCTCCAGTCTTCAACGCGGACTATTTTGCCACAGCTCTGTAGCACTCAGAAGATGTTGCATGAGCAGAGATCAGAGGTAGTGTCTTCTCCTGGAAGTTACCTTCCCAGTTTCTACGGCAGTGCCAAATCTGCCACCTCGAGATGAGGAGGGGGTGGGTGGCTCTAACCTCGGCAACGTTCCTCACTGCTGTCTTGCAAAAAGCGTGCATGGCTGTACCAAAACTACGGAAGGTTTGCGACTTAGCAAAGCTTTTCTCCTCATTTTCTTACGCGTTTAAAGTTGGATTAAAGGGACAAGTCCTGGGTAGCTTTTACTTTCCTTAGGGCAGCTAGGAGCTGGCAGAGGATGAAAGGCTTTGGGAGGAAAGCTCTCCCTTGCCTGCTCCTGTGGGGCGAGGGAGCAGTGCCACGGCTCATCTGCTGTCCTTCCTGCCCGCTGTGGTCCTTCATGGAACTCCCCGCTGGGTGTTGCCTCCTGCTTCCCTCCGGCACGGCTCCGCGCTGGGAAACGCGCGGTGACACCAGCCCGGAACGCAGGAAGCGTGGCCCCCTCCACCTCTGGCAGTTTATAAATGCCCGTTGTCACCTTGTGCTGTCTGATCTCATTCCTTCCCCTCCAGAGAGAAATCAAAACAGAGAGGAGGTCCCTGGCCCCGACCGGCGGGCACTGAACCAGAAATGAGAACATTAAAAAGGAAGAGGGAGAAAAACGGTGATCCAGCTGACACGTGCAGGATCCCGAATCACCCGGCAGACACGTGCTGAATGCCAAGGAGGAGCTGCCGCGTTCAGAGCGATGTTTTGGCTTCCTCCGTTTCAAGTATGGGGTCACGGGCTGTGCTGTCAGGTGGGGGACAGGAGAGGGGAGTCAGGAGACTGGGATGCGCTGCCAAAATCAAGATAACGGCTCAGCTGATGGCAGCTCTCGCATCAGTGGCTGGTACCGGCACGTGTCGCAGTGCTGAGCCAAGTTCTCCCCGCAGTCCCTTCTCTGCGGGTCAGACAGTTCTGCCAAATGAAGCAAAAGTGTCAGCTTTGAAGGGTAAAGTGTAAACTGTAAATTTAAAGCTGCCTCCGACACTTGCGGCTCCTTTCTCCCCATTCTTCCACCTTCCTCCTGTCTCCTCTCCTCGCTGGCTTCTGGGGAGCACGTGTGGGTAACGAATGGGTGAGCAGGTGGGATGTTAGTAAAGAGTAATGCTTAACTAAAGATTTGCAATAATTAACTGAAGATTTGAAGAACGCAGCAAAGTTAAGATGTCAAATGAGCAAACCTCTGGTATGCGCGAGGGACAAAAGCCCGGTCCCTCATTTAACCATACAGCTGAAGGTATTGTGGGAGTCCCTCCAGGGGCTGCAGGGGATGGTTCAAAGCCCCGTAAGTGGTAGATGGGCACGTACATCTCCGGGTGGGTCATCAGAAGCTTCCCAGTGGTGATATGAACTAGCTTGGGGAAAGCCCCAGCCTGGGTGTCTTGGGGGTGGTGGCTGCACTATCGTCTCAGCGTCGTTTCCAACTAGGCAGTAGGATGCACGTGGACAAGATTTTTGCAATGGTTGGATGAACCTTGCTTTCTGACTCCCCTGTACAGTCCTGTTCTAGTGATTTGATGCCAAGATACTTGCTTTCCTTGTGGTTCTAGCACCCAGCAGGGTCATTGTTACCCTCAACTCAAAGCATCTGGACTATTTCACCTTAACTCCAGAGCATCCACCCTCACATGTAGCTCTCGTTTGTCTTGTGTTTGTCAAAGTTGGCTTAAGCCTGGGAAAACTCGGAGGAAGGCTAACAGGGAAGAGTAGGTATCTTCCAAGACAGAGAGACTGCTGGCGTGTCTGTCACGTATTATTGTGCTTCTAGAGGAAATTCTGCTGTGGGGTGAGTGGCGTGGAGGGATGGAGGACTGTTTTTAGTGTTTGGGGGTAATAATTTGTACTGCGTGACTGGACAGGTATATGCGGTTGTGCATCAGGATCTCATTGTAATGGATATGGTGCGGCCCCAGAACAGAACAAGTGTGTGCACGTGGCAGTTTGCCGTCCCCTTTCCGGATGAGAGAGGCAGAGAAACAACTGAGCTACAGTCAAAGTAGTAATTTGTTGGACAACACCACGTAACGTGCTGTGGTTTCCACTCGCTACGGCTGTCATCGACTTCACAGGCTTCATGAATATGATCTGAAAGACGGAAGAGGGGCTTGTGTATTTTCCCTGACCGCTTGTGACAGGTTCTGTCTTCTTCTTCTCTCTCTGTAGTGAATTTGCCAAAGAACGAGAAAGGGTAGAAAATCGTCGAGCCTTCCTGAAGCTCCGCAGGCAGCAGCAAATTGAACGGGAACTAAACGGATACTTGGAGTGGATCTTCAAAGCAGGTAAGGCGAGAGATCTCCTGACCTTGCTTCAATATGTTTTGTGGCAAGCAGAGCCTGGTGATGGCAGAGGACAAGGGCCCCAGGGCTAGTCCTCGGTGTCGCTGGCCGTGGAGGAAACCCGAGGCTAATGGGTGCCCAAAAACTTGTTGGTTTTGTTGGGCACGTTTCTGAGCAGTCGCACTGACGTTATTGCAAAAGATCTCAGTTTGGTTAAGCAAAAATAAAGGAGCTGCGCCAACTGTCCTTATTGCCGAGATCAAAGCAATTGTCTTAATACAGTATAATATAAAAAGTGATACAGTGCCCAAAGTCTCCAAAGTGGGGAAACTGTTCCCTTATATGAGTCATTTATATTTTATTTACTTTCCACCACAGCTGTTTTATAAGCCTCTCTTGCTATGATGGTAAAATACACTGGAGTGTCATTTTTATGAGCTACGGAGATCACTTTCATGAAACTCACCCCGGCACATATTAACATTGTTTTATAACTATTATAACTGAATATTGTACTTTATTGTAAGCTGTGAGCAACTTTAACAAGGACCCAAACTCACTTATTTAATAAAAAATACCACGCTTTTCTTTTCCCTTTTATCAGACAGGAAAGATTACCAATAACCTTTTTGCGTTACAGAGAGAGAGATATATATTGACATAACCACAGAGCGATTCATTCACATAGCATCAAGAAAACTTCTGGGGCTAATTTGTTTCCTTGCTTGCTTTTTCTGAGAAGCTGAAACATCTGAGTAATGTGAAAATGCCTTTTAAAACAACGATGGGGAGAAAAAGCAGCAGTGGGTTTCTCAAGTAGACTTTCAGGTGCCTTTCTGGGCAGGTCAGCTTCATCCTTGCCCTTTAGAAATGGGGAAACTGAGGTTCACCACTGCATGGTGACTTGCCTGATGTCAGCCGACAGACCGGTGGGCAGAACTGGCGCTCTTTGGTGCTCCTAAAAGCCCTGTCGTCATTCCTGGTTTTGAAATCCATCCTGATGTGCTACAACGTGCTTGTGCAACAGCAAGTGGTTGTATGGTCACAGCAACTCCTGTGCGATGCACATAAGCTGCGTACGCGCCGGGAGCGGTTTTGTGTATAGGTAGCTCTTTTCCTGGATTTACGGCTGTTTTACGTGCCTAGCCCGGGCGAAAATATTTGGAAGAGAGTTTTCTCCTGGCTCCCTGCTCCGAAGCGCTCGGCCAGCCTGCGTGCCCCAGGGAGCGGGGCTTTGCCCTGTGGCACCTCCCCAGGGCACGGGGGTCTGGGCACGGGTTTTGACAACCTGGCTGGAGAGGAAAAAAGGCTTGAAGTGTGGAAATGTAAAATGGGAAGAAGAAGCAGTGGTTTATGTGGTGGGTTGAACGCACAATTCCCCGTAGCACTATGCAGAGTGACAGTGGAGTGCCGGTTGTGTTGACAGACACAACTTTTATTCACCGTGGGTGTTCAACGACAACTGTCCTCAATTAGGTAACCACACTTTAGTCTGGGGCTCTGTAGGATTCAAAAAAAAAGAACCGTCCACTTTCCATTTATAATTTGTCTTCCCACTTGTTTACAGCTTTTGTGCTACCTAAATTCAAATTAATTAATGGTTTACCCAGTGGCTGGAGCAGAGTTTGCCACGGTTCTGCCTCGCCTCTGGTGTCATCTTGCTTTTAAGGCTCTCGTGATTTCTCGCTCTCTCAATCCTGCTTTCCCCATTGGTAAAATAAAGACGAGAACTCCCTCGCAGGGCGGTGGGTTGATTCATTTCGTTTTGGTGACTGTTCTGCCAAGAAGAGCCGTGCAGAGGCCATCAGCTGAACTTGTCTGACAGTTGAGGTGGAGAAGTTATAAAACACACAGCCAAGCTCCACTCCAGCAGTGTGTCCCTGTGGGAATGGCTGCCTTTTCTATTTCGGTGTTGCCGGTGCTGAACAAATGCCACATCGGTATAGAGTGAAACTGCTGTAAAATGCTCATCTTTTTATTTTGTCTAATGTCACAAGATCCAGAAGGTTTTCTAGAACACGAAAGTGTATGCAAAATAGCTGAATCAGGGAATAATAAAAATACGCTGTAAAGGCATTGTTGAAAATACGATAGGAATAGGAAAAAAGCTTCCTGGTACCGCTGAATAATAACAATAATTAAAATCAGCTTAGCAGGGTTAGTAAATCTTTGAATACAAAAGGTAGCAGGAGGGGTAACCAAAACACAGAACCAAGTGTTTAGAATTCACATGGTGAAATTTGGGACTGCGCTGTCGATGGGGATTTCCCGTTTCAGAGGGCAGGGTTTCAGCTAGGAAACCGTCACGAATTTCCAGGTAATCAGTCTTCCTTGTCCAGGACCGTGTTGGGGGACAGTTGGGCAAAGCAGACTGCTCGGCTGGGGCAGGAGAACAGCCCGGGAGGACGGTCGCGGGCAGCCCAGCCTGTACAGACACCTCCTGCAGCAGCCGCCGGCGGTGAGACGTAACCGGCGGTTTGCATAAAAGAAAGAGCAAAAGCTCTTGGTATTCTGCTCTTAGTGTAACTCTGGAGGATTTCAGTGTTATTCTTTTGAATACCTAATTGTTTTTAAAGCCTTCTAGCATCCTTGACCTCATTGAAACTTGTAGCAAGGAGTTCCACATGTTCATGGTTGGTTTGATTTTAAAAAACAGACCAACCTGCCAAACAGTATGTTCTGTCATTGACTTTAAGAATGTTCCCTTTCTGCACTTCACATTTCTTTTTATTACTTTTCTTTCCCTGATCTCTCGCTACCTTGTTTCATCTTGTTTTTTCTGCTCTAAGGCATGAAGAACCAACCTGCTCCATCCCCTCTCTTCCCGTGGAAGGCTCTCCAGGCTTCTCATATTTATAGCAGCTTCCCTGAGCGTTTTGTTTGTTCGTTTTTTTCTCATTTATTTTTCATGCAAGGTAGGAAGAGTGGAAGGCTGCATTCCAGTGATTCATGAAGTGGCATCTTAATACTTAATCAGATTTTTTTCTCTGTAATGTTTTACAAATTCTGAGTAGTTGCTGGAGCTGGAAAGGAGCTTTCCCTGTTCTCAGTAGTGCTCAAGTTTTTACCTCGAGGGCTGTAACTGGTTTAGGACCAAAGAAATAGTTTTTACCTCGAGGGCTGTAACTGGTTTAGGACCAAAGAAATATTTGAGTGACTAAAATCACTCCTTCATCTGTACACGACCTCCCATTTGTCAACAATGATTTTAATTTAACATCGTGCTCATCATTTATTGACCAGTCTTGAGTGTCTTCTGTGTTTCTCTCAGCCTTCGCTATTTGCAATCTGAATGAAGTTATCTCGTCTCTTGCTGTACATATTGCATTGAAAAGGTAGTTCAGACGAAATTTGGGAGTTGTTTACTATCAACCCTTTCTTATACGGAAACTGTAGACTATTTAGTCCTCCAGAAGAAAACAATGGATCTTTGTTTTTTACCTCTTAAGTGCTGTCTGACTCGAGCATGTTCCAGACCTGGTCTAATGACTTTTCGTACATTTGTGTTATAAGAAGGACATGTCTTTAATAGCCTGGCTCTTGAGTAATGGACTTTTACATTTTTCTTTTTTTTTTTTTTTCTGGTGGTACTTTTAAATTTTTTCCAGTGGGAAAATAAGAGTATAAAAAGGAAGAAAATATTAATAAAAGGTGCTTGTGGAGTTTTCAAGGAGCGACCTTGGCACAGCGGAAAGGTTTTGGTGCCAGCTCACGACTGATAAATCACCAGAAGTGCAGCTGTGGTTGAAACTGAAGCAAACACGGGTCAGGCGGGATTAAAAGTGGATTCTTTAATATAGTCAGCAGCATATCTACTTGAGGGATCTATACCAAGGTGTTTAAACAGTGACAACCTTAATGTGCAAATACTTGTGTGAGTTATACTTAATACAGGAAGCCTTAATTGATGAAGTGCTTAACAAATGCCTGCTTAACAATGGGTTGGGGAACAAAAGAGAAAATTATAACACAGATAATGTGCTGAAGTGCTGAATTTAGACATACATGACTTGAAAGAGAAAAAATCAACCCACGGTCTGACCAATTTCCTTAGATTTTGAATTGAATTTCTTCACTTATGATTATAGAGAGGCCAGGTATGAAGTTTCCAGCTTTACTTATTTCTCAGGTATGTGCTGAAGAATGAGTACACAGGGGGTAGTCAGGACAGTTTGAATATTTTCAAATGAGATAACAGGTGCTTTCATGTAAAATTCCCATACCGTAAAGCCAAGACTAAGCAAGGAAAATTGTAACTCTGTAGAGTCTTTTGGAGGATGTCTAGAAGAAATTCCGTGTCACCTTAGATGACTTATAGATATGTGTCTTCAAATCTGCAAGATTTTTCAGTCTTACAAAACTAATGCGAGTTACAGGCCAGAAGCAATGATCAAATCCTATCATTTCCTGCATCTCACAGAAGTTAGGCCAAAAATTTGTATGGTAATTGCCATGTCAAGCTTGTAAACATTGACTCTCTCTATTGTTTGGAAGTGAACTGTATGGATCAGTTAGAAACAGACCCGTAATCTGAAATTTAATCTTGAAGAATAAAGTCAACGGCCTGTTTTTCAGTAAATTCTTTAAAGGGACCAACTCTTTCCACCACTACAAGTCAGCAGACATAGGCATAAAAAGCAATGCTTTGCGTTGTGTTGCTCCTCTAGGCACGAGACAAGTTCTCTTCCCCAAGCGCCTCTTCTTCCCTTCAACCAATATCAAAAAAAGTCTCATTGGTGACGAGCAAACCCTGTCTCGATCCACCCACCGCGTGCTGGGACGGGCTCTGCGCTTCGTTTCACGGCTTCGCTGGGCTCTGCGCAGAGGCAGTAATGAGTCGATTTGAAATTGTGCCTTTCAGAGGAATTAAAAAGTGGTGAAGGCAAGCAATGTAATCCATGCAAATGATTTTGCCACCGCTGCTTTCTCCATTAAACTCCTCAAAACTGTAGCAACTATTAGGCTGTCGTGCTGCATTTTCAATGGAGAGCGGAGAACTAGAAGTTCTCTGTACCAGAGGAAAGCGCTTATAAGCCCACAAATATTCTTTTGAAGATGTTTCTCTTATCTTACAAGGACATGCATCATTTTGAAAACACTTTGCCCAGAGACTGGAAGTCTTTTCAGTTCAGAGCTAATCAAGTTTGCATGTCTTTTGCATTTTAATTCTTTCCAAGTCCATCTCTTTTGCACAGCACTGATTCTCAGTGTTTCTTTTCTCCTGGAGTAAGCGGGCTTTGGGAATGGGTTTAACCTCTCTCTTCCAGCTCACCGTAACTTGAATACCGTTCCTTGACGTGACAAAGCTTGGTGAACCTCAGGTTTCAGCTTTCTGTAGAAGAAACAGAGCAACAAACCCCTCGACACAGCTGGGGAAAGACACCTACATCAATGGAAAAGGGCAGCAACGTGTGTGAGATGGCAAGGGAGGATGATTGCCAGAAAGACAAATTAGAGTCCCCCGTGAGAATGTGACGGCTTCTTTTAAGGGACGCGTTTTTATTCACTTTTTCTATTTAGCAAGCCTGAAGCTTCAGAAGCTAAATTCAGTTACTCTTCCTTTCTTCTAACTTCTGTCGCCTGTTGAACGTGAGTTATTTCCTGTAATCTGCTCTTCCTTTGAGCCTGCAATGTCCCACCTCCCCATGCCAAAGAGAAAGAGAAGGGGCACCATGTTTCTCTGCTGCTTTGCCTGTTCTGTTCAGCTTGTCAGTTCCTCAGTAGAAGGTTTGCCTTTATTTCCAGTCCCGTAACGTGCTGTGTGTTGTCAGTACTTAACGATCAGCAATTAATCTTGCTGCTGTGACACCTCTCACTCAGATATCCCAGCGAAGCCCCTGTGCCTTTGTTTGGAGGGCAGAAGTTGCTGATGTGATACTGTCTCTTTGTTGAATATTTCTTCTAACGTAGAGGCACTGTTTGGGGTTTTTTCAGGCACCTTAATTATCTTCTTCCAGTCTCCGTGTTACAGTGGTGACTAAAGGCAATGCAATTTCTGATCCCCTGCTTAGGGTGCTGTATGGTTAAAAAAAAATAAATCCTAGCCGTGATGACTCACCTGCTGAGCTGTCTTTTTAGCAGGTGTTAAAAACCACGTAGAGCCTCACTAGGGTGGATGTGGTCCTTTGGATTCCCAGAGGGTACAAGACAGACAGGAGCGACTATCACGGGAGAGAACTGGGGAGCGATGGTGGAGGGGAGTCAGCCTTGAGAGAACTGCAGGGGTGAAACCTGGGTTTTGTTTATTTTAAGGGAACAGTAAAACTGAGCCCTGGTGAGGTGTCTATGGATGGAGATATCAACTCAGAGCCCTGAATTTGGGGCAAAGGCTCAGCTGGTTGGCAGAGTTGTCTCTAAAGAGCCTGTGCTTTGTAGATGAAGGCACGTTGACATCAAATTGTCACACCCAACAAATTCTGAGGTCCCACTGGCATTTATCGCTCTGCTTTCTGAAACCTCAGTGTGGCTAAACCAGTCTGGCTGTGGGGACACAGGGGGCACTGGAAAACTCAGATGGCATCTGTACCCCATGGCAAACCCCCATGGTTATGTGTTCAGACAGTTCACAGTCCCAGAGGTGATCTGGGGACTCAGGACTGTTCTTCCCCTGCTGCTCAAAGGACAGCGGAGAGTAATGACAAATTACAGGAACATGTGAGACAAGAGGCCACTCGGAAACAGGGGAAAAGAAGAATTTCTCTTCCTCCTGAGAGATCTTTGAAAGGAACCAGTACAATGATTTTCCTCCTCTACTGATGCCAACCGAGTGCAGAACTGAGCTTCCAGCTAAGCAAATAGGTTTGTTCTTTCCTGGAGTGTTTTAATTATTTTATTTTTTTTTTTAAACACGACATGTTTGGAACCAGCAGCCCTCAGCTCACTGCCCAGTGAGTGTGCTGGGTCTGGCTGAGATCTCCCTTCTGCAGCCACAGCTCTCTCGCACCGCGCTCATCTGGGTGCAGCCCCTGGAGAACATCTGCCTGTCTTCTGACCCTCCCTACCTCATTACTTTCCTTGCTCACCACACGCACGGCAGTGTGTCCACTCCCTGCAGCAGCTTGTATTAAGTCAATTTAATTACCAAATGCTGTCTAAAAGTCAGCTTCTCTTTCTGGGAGTGTCAGAAGAGCTCCTCCCGGATGGGTTCTCTTTCTTGCGCTTGCTCCTCGTCTCAAGACTTAAATGTGCGCTCCACTTCAAATGGTGTTAATTTT